TTCTGGACGTAGCAGCCATGCAATGGCGAATATAGGTCGATATTTATGACTGCTAGTGTTGTGTTTGACGAAGGTAGCACCATGCTTGTTGCTTGCGCGTCATCGATTGATCCGCATCAAAGGAGACTAGGCATTGGCTGCTCGATATTTGGAGAATAGGCATTGGCTCGTCGATTTTTCGAGACCAGGCATTGGCTGATCGCCTGAAGCTGCTGCCCAAGGTGGGAGGGCATACAAATTGCAAGTGTACCTTTAAGAAAATTTTAAAAGGCACACTTGATATTTGTATACGCGATGAAATGGAGCACTCCATGGCGATCGCGCCACTGCCAGTGGGACGCCCGCCACAACGAAGGGACGTTGATCGCGCCTTTTGAGCGTCGAACTTCCCTCTTCCCTTTCCCTTCTCCTCTTCGATTTTAAAAGGCACAAAGTGTTATCTCCCCACATCCTAAAGGGTACTCGCCGGACGTAGCAGTAGACTGCGTCGTGCGTTGGAACGCCGGGACGATCTCCTCGGGCAGCTCCGTCCAAAATTCCTCGCTCTGTGCCAGGGCGTTGAGGGCTGTGAGGTCGTCGCAGGTCTTGAGGCACTTCTCGAAAGACAGGAGATCGTCGTCGAGCACCCGTGGCAGCGTCGTCATCGGGCGCCGGGCCACGGTGCAGCGCTGGAGCGCCTTAAGTACTCACCCATCGCGCGGTTGGCCTGGATGTAGGCGCGCTGCGAAGGATGTGACCAAAAAGGTCCCCCCAGCTTTGGCGAGCCGCGGCTTGGTCTGGCGCGCTCGTACAAAGCGTCGTTCGAGATGTGGTGCGGATATTGAACACCCATGCGTCGACGCACTTGTTGCCGGTGAATGCTTTCAAGTCGACCAACGTCACCAGCCCAAGTGCCACAGTCGTAGAGCAACGTCGGAATATGTTCAAAATATGCATACACTACATACACGATGCACTTCCGATGCAGAGAGGGTGTACAAGTAGGGATCCGATAGAATGGTTATATTACCCCCCTCCTCTCGCAATATAACTTATATGGTATTGTGTCGTTTCGTCGCCGTGGCCATAACGCAAGTGCGTGGCTTCGTGTTGGAAGGCCGCCGCCGCCCAAGCAGGAACTAGTGGATGGATTAAAAGGAGTAGCTACGGAGAGTGTGCTGCTTGGAGGCGACTTCTTTGGAAATGAGCTTGGACCGTGGATCTTGAACGTTGATAGTTGCTGCCTCGCTAAAACGGGCGGTTCAGGCAACGTCTGGCCGAGGTAAAAAAACACAGCTTCACCCGTGCCGCGAGAAACTACTCCATCGCTGCAACAAACTTCGCAGTCGATGCTAGCTCGACGACGCTACAGTACTCTAGAGCTGCTGCCACTAGGAAGCGACGCAGAGCACTTGTCGTGGCTACAAAAGCGATACTAAAACCCACTACTGTGACTAAAACCGGCGGGGGAGTTGACGATCTTTCGATGACGCGATCGTAAGCCGTTTCGAGACCAGTTCTGTCGAACAAGACTCGGATATACTTTCGTGTCGGATGGGGGCGTGGATGTCGTCGTCGGAGCGCCGGTCGGCGGCAACCTCCTCGGCCACAGCAACACAGCCAAAGTCGTTACGGGCGCGGTCGTTCTCGGTCAAGTTTTCAAGCGCGCTAACGCAGTCACTCAAGTCCAAGTCGCACGCGTCCATGATTTACGCCGCAGACGACGAGGGCCAGCTCCGTGTCGAGACGGTGCTATTGGACGGCGTCTATGATCGCGGCCTCGCGACGCCGGACGAGTACCAGCACTACATGCCGCCCAACATGCCGGTCTTTCCCGTGTACGAGCCCTTGTACCACGAGACGTGCGCTCGCACGTGGAAGCTTCTGTGCAAGGGCGGTACCCTCAAAATGCAGCAGTACCACAAGGACGGCATCGTGCTCTTCTACGACGAGTTCTTTCATCGCCTCTTTCAGCGCGACCCGAGCTTCACCGAGATCTTTCCGGGCATTCGCAAGCGCATTGAAGTGCTCATCAAGGCCATAAAGTTTATGCTACCCGAGAGCCACAACACATCGTCCATCGATGTCATGCACCGGTGCCGCCACCTCGGACACCGGCACAAGACGTTTCCCAAAATCCGGCCACACCATTTTGCCATGTACACGAGCACGCTCGTTGAAGTCGCCATGTTCTGGCTCGACACGGAGGCGACGCCGGACGTTGGCGAAGCGTGGAGCAACCTCATTGGCTTTCATCTCAAGTTCATGCTCCAAGCGTACCTCTACGAAAACGTACTCGGGTCCGAGTGGAGCCAAAACGTCACGATCCCCACCGCCCGGACGGCTGCGCGCAAAACGTTGCGTACTGTCGTCACCGACGCCTGCACCAGCCACCGAGCGTCACTGCGAATGACACTGCCCGAGCCCTTTATAGCACCGGCGGCACCCAAGGCAGCACCCGAGACAGCACCTGTGATGTCGATGGAGGGGACACCGACGACAGCCCAACTACGAGAACGGCGGGCGTCGCGCACGCACGCATGGCTATAGCATTTTGCAGAGCTATTTATTTGGATTTGATCGATGTACACGAGCGAGGTAGAGTGTAAGAAGTATAATACCAGTATCCAGGATGGTGTAAAACACCTTGGTTCGACGCCTTTCATCGTACCTAGTAATTATTTTCCGACAACTAAACCATGGATTCGGTTTCGTGGCCAGCTACAGCCTATCTCGTTAATCCAATGAATTTTGGAAATCCCCAACTCGTAGAATGGTTCAAAACCAATTAGATGATTGATTGATTATACAACGTGACGGCTATTCTAATACATGTGCTTATGGGTGCGACGGATAGTTAGCGGAGGCGCTTGGGCACGCACTGCGAGTACCACTCGTCTTGCTTGACGCAGATGCTGCCGCCAACGCACTCGGTGCTGCCCGTGTAGTCCTTGCCGCCGCACTGCTCCCACGCCTTCTTGCCGCCACCTGCAATGGGCTTGGCCGTCGGCTTGGTCGAGGGCTTGGCCGTTGGCTTCACAGTCGTGTGCACCGGCGTCTTGGACGTGGGCTTGTGAGACGGCTTATGGCTCGGCTTGGGGGCCATCGTCGGCGCCTTCGTCGGCTTGTCCGTCACCGGGGTCGGTTTGTCTGTGACCGGGGCCTTTGTGGGCTTCTCCGAGCTCGGCGCCGGCGTCGGGTTCTGGCTGCTCGGCGACGGCTTCGGGTCCGACCCGCACGTGTCGCTGATGTAAATGTCGGCGCAGTTCCAGAACTGCTCCTGGCCGTTGATGTCGATGCCCGGGTTGTTCCAGCCGACATACCACCAACGAAGCACGCAGTGCGAGTCGCCGTCGCACTTGACACCCGCCGGCAGCTTGTACTGCATCTTGAAAAAGTCGGCGCCGGCCGGGA